GAGGGTGCGATCTCGGGTCACCACAACCTCTGCCTCCCGGATTCAAGTGATTCTCCTGCCTCAGCCTCCCGAGCAGCGGGGACTACAGGCGTGCACCACCATGCCCGGCTAATTTTTGTATTTTTAGTAAAGACAAGGTTTCACCAAGTTTTCAGATTTGCTTCAGTGCTCCAGGGGGAACATAACTGGGAGTGAGCTTGGGAGTCATTGGCGGGAAATGGTCTGGACCCACCAATGCCATCGGCCAAGCCAGAAGCCAGTGCTGATTATGGGCCTGTGTCATCTGCCATGGAGTGTGCTGAGATTATTTTACTTCAGACTGCCCTGATTTTGTGACCATAAAAATCAATTTAATGAATTGCGACCAGCTTTTTCTAAAGGTAATTATATTATCTGATAACTCAGTGCCTGTATTTCCTTCACATGGGGAGGATATAAGAGGAAGCTTATCCTTAATGCCCGCTCCTTGGTATTGCCTCCTTCAAAAAGGCTTCCCTGACTACTCAGTCTATACATTCTAAACAGTGCCCCTCACACACAGTACACACACACACACACCCCCACACACACACACCACTTTGTTTTGTCTCTACAGCACTTACAGTTAACTGAAACCTTATTTTCTCTCCTCTCACACCCATCCCATTAGAATATCAGCTCCATGAGGTCAGGGCCTGGGTGTCTTGTTCATTATTATATCATCAGTGCCCCAACAGTGTCTGCCAACTAATAGGTGATCAATTAACACTTATGGCATTGAATTAAAATTGCCTCAGCTGGGAGGTTCCAACTCTTGCTCATTACAAAGGCTGATGTTCTGCCTCCTGTTCCACCCTGAGAACCTGGCACCACCCTTACCTCCCTGCAAGGACTTCAGCACAGGCCATGATCCTTGTTCGCACATCTGGGCTTGACCTTCTTTGTTCAGTGTTGTCATCTCGTTTCCTCGTCTGCTGCTGTACACATTCATGTATAGCTTTTGTGTGAATGTGTTTTCATTTCTCTAGGATAAATATCCAGGGGTGGCACCATACTGTAGCATTTTGCACTCCCACAAGCAATGGATGAAAGTTCTAGTAGGTTCACATCCTCCCCAGTACTTGGTATATATTATCAGTTTTGTCATTTCTTAAAAAATTTACACACTATGATAGGTTTGTAGTAATATTTCATTGTGCTGCATTTTTATGAAAAAAATTTAAAAATAAATTATATCACAGAAAACAATAGTGAATCCTGTTTGTGTGTGTGTATGTGTGTGTATATATATGTATGAAGTACACACAATCACATGCATAGATATGTACTAAAGCATGTAAAATATATTTCATACTGCGAGGTTATGGTTTAAAAAACTTGAAAGCTATTGAGTTGGTATTTCTGCTTTCTTCATAGTGACTAAACAGAAACGTAAAAACCTTGAATAAGCTCAATTTACAAGCACTGAAAAGAAACTGAGATTAGACTTCAAGGGTACCAATTGAAAACTGAGTCACAGGGAAGGCAAAGAGATCATCAGTGCTAAGGAGCAGGCTCGACAGAACTCACTCCACTTTCTTCACCCATGCTTCTGTATATACAATATGGTTCATAACAAAATTGTTGGGGCTCAGTCCGGCTTTTCAATGAATATACAATCTAATAGAGGAGATACGATGTAAACACAAGCATGGCTATGGGAAGTATTGAAAAATTAGTGTAGATGTCTTTTTCCTCATTAAAAAAAAATTTATGTAATGCACCTCTCTCCCAAGAGAACATATTTTATTTAAAAATAAAGAGGTCATGGCCAGACGCGGTGGCTCACACCTGTAATCCCAACACTTTGGGAGGCTGAGGTCTGCAGATCACCTGAGGTCAGAAGTTCAAGACCAGCCTGACCAACATGGAGAAACCCCATCTCTACTAAAAATACAAAATTAGATGGGCGTGGTGGCACATGCCTGTAGTCCCAGCTACTCAGGAGGCTGAGGCAGGAGAATCGCTTGAGCCTGGGAGGTTGAGGTTACAGTGAGTCAAGATTGCGTCATTGCACTCCAGCCTGGGCAACAAGAGGAAAACTCCATCTCAAAAATAATAAATAAAATAAAATAAAGAGGCCATGCCATGTGTTGGTGGGGAAGTGGGTACAGCTTCCCCTCATGCACAGCTGATAGGAGGGTGGACAGATCTGGCATTCTGGAGAACGTGCAATATTTAAATTACGTACACGCTCACTTGCTGACCCAGCACTTCTAATCATGGGTATGGCACACATTACAAGGTTTACATAGGTCTGCAAGGAAACATACCAAGCTGTTCCTTGCTCCATCATTTAGGGATCCTTGTTGGAGCCGGGGCCATCCATAGGCTGGTCCAGTTTCCTGGGACATGGCCTGTCTGTCTGACAGGGACACATCACACTAGGTATTGGTACAAGTGGCCCATCAGAACCCTTCCACCTCTCTGTAGAACATGCAGTTCTCATAAAGGATCCTCATGAAATTGGAAGTTATCCAGGTATCTATTCCCAACAGAGTGGAGAAAATGTGGTGGATGAGTACCGTGGAATACTAGGAAGCAGTTAGGAGCTATGGAATTACACAGGGATGGAGCCTAAAAATATTATGCTGAGAAAAGATTAAGCAGCAGGATGAGCTATGTACAACACTTACATAAAGCAAAACATTTATATGCAAAACAATATTACAAATGTTGCTGGAACATGCAAACAAAAAGTGCACATTATAAGCACACTGTAATACTTATCCATTGAGAGAAACAAACGTAAAGAAATAGGAATAAATTTAAAAAAAAATAAAAGAGGTGGCTGATTTTTCAGGCTTGCTCAGTGACTTTTAGCTCTGACCCAAAAGGATCTTAGACCTGATAGGCTTCTGCTGTATAACATTGTCCCACCTAAGCGGCCTCAAGTGATTCAAAACTAGTTCTGGTAGGTCCAGTCAATTCTGATTGCAAAGGTAAACTTCCCATCAAAAGGCCTGTTTCATGCCTTGGTTCTTGGCTTTAACTCTGGCCAGCGCTCACAGGCTCTGAGAGACAGAAGCGTTCAGATGAGCTACTTGCACCAACACCTAGTGTGATGTGCCGCTATCAGACAGACAGGCCATGTCCCAGGAAACTGGACCAGCCTATGGATCGCACTGGTTCCAAGGATCCTTGGTCCAGACGGGTTCTAGGACCGAAGTTTTAGGATTATAAGACAAAGCATGACTGGTTGGTTGGTTTTTGACTTTGCGTAAGGAACAGTTTAAAGGGGCTTTTCTCAGAGGAGAGCAGTGTGGTGAGGACTCCCACACAATGTCAGTTACTCTGACTGTAGTGTGGTGTCATGTGCCTTAGACAAAGGAAGTAAATTTCTGGTGAAACTCCCAGGATCTTATGGCCTAAAAAAAAAAAGATGAACTGTCCTGTAAATCCAAGCACAGGCACATTAGGAAGGGACAAACTGGGGCACAAAGACAATGGGCTTTGAATTAGTTCATCTCCAGGGAAAATTTGGATGAGAATACTTCTAAATATATAATTTTGGCCCATTACTTTATCACATCCCTCAGAAGACTGTTGTGCAATAGTGCATCAGACAGTTTAGCACAGTGATGCAAAAATTATAAGTGCTCAACACATTTTAGTTCCATTTCTTCCCTGCATACCTGACACATGTTGAAAAGTGTGCGTGAAGAACACAGCATTCGTCCTCAAAGCCTGTATGTAGCTTTGTAGAGGGGCTACGAGCATGAGCTGTTACCTATAGCGTGTCCCTATCTATGTAAACTAGATTATTTTCCTTCACAATTTCACGTTAAAAATAATTGCTTTTGAATGTATTTGAATATATTTAATCTTTTTTCTTCTTTCCTTTTCTTTTTCTGAGATTTATTAGTTAATAGATTGAAACTGGAGAGCAGAGAGCATGTGAGAGTTACTGAGCCAAAAAGGGAGAGTTAGCAGCCAGTTAACTTCTGTTGCGCTTGTGCAGAAAAATAGACTGGCTTTGAGGTTGAAGAAACAACCTCTGTAAGTTTCCAACAACCACGACTGTCTTACTTATATCCAAAGCTGCATTCATTTCCCACCCTGTACTCCGGTCTAGTATGCTATTGGATTGACTGGGTAGAATCCAATTCTGCTGGACAGTTTTGCAAAAACCCCAATTATAATTATTTAAAGGAATCTTTTTCCCATGAAAATATTTCCTTCACTTATTCTGAACTGTCCTGACAGTTCCAAGATCCTACTGTTATCCATATGGAAAACTAGTGAATATTCTCTTAAACCACTCCATAGCCATACCTTCTGGCTGCTCAAGTGAAGTTCCCAAGCCAAAGTATCAATACCATTGTGTGCAATTTTTACTGCATTTCCTATTTTCACAGTAATAGGAGCTGTAGTCCGGAAGATAAGGAGCGTGTGACAGCCCTGTCATCTGTGAGTGCAGGGGAGTGAAGGCCTGGACTCGTGACCTAGGCCCTGTGAAGTCAAGTCTTTTTACCAAGTAAAAAGATCGGCAATGAAATATTTCCACACAGTACATGACAGAATACTTGTACCCGTCCTATTTTATTGGACATTAATTGTACCTATTAAGACACATATCCCTTTAAAAAATGATGGAAGAAAATACTCAGAGAAAGGACTGGTGTGCAGCTGAGGAGGAAAAATGTGTACTGCATTCTTTAGACGAAGCAGAAATCGATCAGCAAGTTAAAGACGCAATCTATTCAATCTTTCAACATTGCAAATTAATTCTCATTTGGCTTGATTGTTTGCATTGAAATTTAACTTCTCTGTTGGTTCTTACAAATTCAGAAATACGGAGATTAGAGAATTGGTTGGTGAAAACCTACAGGGAAAAAAAAAAAAGCATGCGGCCTCAGCCTGAAATGTAGAATGGACAAATAAAATGAATGTTTTAATGGAATAATCCATAATAATAGTTGAAATAAAGTGATGCATTAGGCTATATTTGCTACAGCATAAAATGAAACTTCATAACAAGATTATGAAAGTGGTTTTTATTATTGTGGTAATGGTGTCCCAGTATAAGTAATGAGATACAATTTTTTTTCATTTGGTATAGCAAACAGTAAAAGCTACATATAAATGTGTCACCAGAATGTATTTCGGTTACAACTATGTATTGTAGTTATTATGTGCATACTAAAAGCATTCGTGATAAAGTACAAAAATAAGAAAATGTTAAATAAGAAGGTATCCTTGAGTTATAAACAAGTATACCTTTTAATCACACAGTTGTATCACAGCTGAAAACACACAAATTAATATGTACTGCTATGCAACTATTTGATCTAATATAGATCTACTATGAAAATATTAAGGCTGTAGTAATACTTCACAGGTAAAGGCTAAGTTCTGGGACGTGAAAGCTTTTAGCAAATTCAGATGATAAACCTGAGACATCTTTTTGTTTTGGAAAAAGCAATTTTCTTACAAAGTCAAAGCTTTGACACACAAATCAGGCATTTAATAAACATTGTACTTTATTGCAATAACCTGGAGTGAAACTTCTGACTTTAACGGTCATCAGCAAATACCTTCTGTCTCTGATAGAAATACAATGAGGCTTTCTGATTAAAGCAGTAATCCGATTACTGCAGCCTCCAAATTCAGTTATTTTTATTCGTTTTTTGTCTTCTTTTCCTTTCTTTAACGAGGGTATAAACATACTAAATAAGCCAGGTAACCCCCAAGCACCTTACTTTCTTCTATATAAACTCAGCTTTCCCTTTGCTGCAAGCATCAGATGATGACTGAGCCTACATACATAAAAACAGATTATAGCACATCTGGACCTGGTTGATGTAATGAGGCATCCAGATTGGTACATGATTATTTTTGCTGCTACACATTTCTCAATCTAAAAAAAACAGGCTACAACAGCCCAAGTTCACTGTCTCAGCCTTGTTGGGGTATAATATTTTGGAATGGCAAGTACCAAAAAATTTAAATGTATTGGGCAAGTCTGATTTCAATAGTTGACTTTAATGCTTTTTAAAATACTGGCACAATTTTTTATACTCAAGAAGTACTGCTATGAAATTTTAAAATAAAATTACATGAAATTTTATAATATTCCAAACCACAAAACAGATCTATGTTGTAGATTTTTTTAACAGCCTATTTGAGATTTAACGCTGCTACGCCAAATATCTTTTTTCTAAATGTTCATGCTTCGAATTTTGTGCTCCAAATTAATTAATTTGGAATGAGTGGGAAAATGTTTAACCATCTTTCCTTCTTCTCAGTCTTTCTCTCTCTTCTTTTGCCATGCCCCGAATACACACACAAAACTATCATAAACTCCCTTTTTAAAAAATTTTGGTACAGAGATTACAAAAAGCTAAATAAAATGTAATAAGCACTTAGGAAACTGTAAAACTTCCTTTGGAAGTTTAATTGCAATGAAATTTAAAACTTGAAACTTCACTTTTCTAAATGTTTTCAGGTTATTGCATAAACCAAACGCATACATTTCATTTGTGCTTTAGGCTTTCCCAGCTACCAAAGTAATTGCCATCTTAGAAAACACAACTGACCTTATCCCTACTGTCTTTTCCAAACAGCTTCCAAGACTATCTTCTGATTCTAACTTTCCAAAAAGCAGACATTAATGTTAACTTTCAAAAAAACCATCTAGAAGAGACACTTGGTCAGTTGTAATGAGAGTTCTGTCCCCAGTTCTTGTCACCTTGTAAAAAGAACATCCAGAAAAGTCATAATATTTTTCATCATTCACTGGGCAGACACATCTTAGATTTCCCTGCCTTCCATGGGATAATGGTCAGATTTCCACTAACTTCAACTGGAACTTAATAATCAGAATAGCTTTAAAATTAAGTTAAAATGTAAACATGCCATGAATTTGGAATTTTAACATATTAATTAGATCATTTTCAAATAGGATTCTGTATTATAAATAGAATTTCAATAAAGACTATAAAAATAAGAACACATCTTAGGATATAATGTTGAGATTTGCCAAAATTTGTGTGAAGAAAAGAGACTACTTAGTTTTCATGTCAAAAATAGGTGATTGATTTAATCAAGCTCATTTTTAGCGCACTTGGTTGCATTGGTTGTACTTTTCAATTTGCAATGTTATACAAGACATATATTATTCAACCTTTTCCTGAACAAGATAATACTAATATACTGCTTATGGATAATTAAGTAATATATTACATACTATTTGGTGACTTTTTTTTTTAACCTATGAGACTTACTGGAGTCTGTACATTGCAGTCACATAATTTAAAGCTTGGCTGGGCTAGTAATATTTTTTTTTCTTTGCTCCTAATTGAAATTCTGTGCTTTGGCAAGCAAGAGAGGAACAACGTCAGCTCAGAGTTTTACAATTTAACAATGTATACTTTAAAATTCATGATAAATCATGGAACCCCACTATACTCACTAATTCAACTACCGATTTATTTTTGAGCAACTGACTTTATGATTTATCCTTAAAAGTAAGGAAGTATACCAGTAGGCAAAAGGACAAATCCACCCATAAATACTAGACCTAAGTTATTTTCCTGAAAAGGTGAGAAGAGAATTTCTGGTCTTTATATTTTCCCTTATCACCTGCAATCATATACCTTACACTGAAATTACTTGTCTCTGTCTCTGCAACAATATATTCTGAAACTTTGTTTAATATACTTTTTGTCTATTTTTGCATATGGAAGACCAATCTTGAATTCACACCAAAAATGGCATGGTTACCAAAATAATTCTTCACTCAATAGTTTGTGTAAGTGTTTGGGTTTGCGTGTCTATGTGTGCGTTTTAATGCCAAAGAATATTACCTTCAGAAATAACCAAGATGCATTATATGTATAATAATTCCTTGGGCCCTTTAAGTCTTTGACTCAAAAAAATCTCCCAGAAGCTCCTGCAAAGGCCACTACTCATGAAGAACCACTGGGTATGGAGCACACCTCACCTGGATGGGCAGCTGATTTATGCTCACCTTAGAGGCTAATTGAGAGGCAGCACAAAGAGGAACTAGAAAAAAACTGAATTTTACTCCTCATCTCCCAAGATGTGAGTATTTCTAAAATTTCAGCTTGCCTGTGGCTTCTTATTGGCAAATTTCCTCGGCTTGTAACTTTTGGACAGCACTATCAAGGATCTCCATGGACCCTCTGAGAGTGACATTGACTTTAAATGACTTGGGTTTAATGGTCAGACCGTAACTGAAACTCATTTTCGCAGGCTCATTTGGGTTGGCCCTGAAATTGCACTGGTGGGCCAGGATGGAGATAAAGAGAAAAAGCTGTATCTTAGAAAGTTCTTCACCGATGCACCGCCTTTTGCCCACTGAAAAAATCATCACTCTGCTGGTTAGGTCCTTGTTAATGAAGCCGTCCTTGTCCAAGAATCGAGCTGGATCAAAGTTCTCTGGGTTAGGCCACTTCACTGGGTCATGATTCACAGACCACTGGTTGACAAAAATCACTGTGTCCTTGGGAATGTGGTAGCCCAAGAGAGAGGTGTTTGCAGCAGTGGCATGAGGAATGGTGACAGGCACAAAGCTGGAGAAGCGCATGGCTTCATAAAGGAAGGCCATGACATAGTGCAGGTTGGGCTGGTCGTCCATGCAAGGCAGACGGTCCCTCCCCACGACCTGATCCAATTCTGCTTGCACTCGAGCCTGTACGTCAGGATACCTGTTTGGTGTTGAACATGGAGGGAGAAAAGCAAGTAAGCAAAATTAATTCTTTCGTCTAGAAAGCACATTATAATTTATTTGAATTCCACTTTTCCTTAAACAGGCTATTTAGCTCAGTGACTAAATTAATATGTCTGGGAAAAAAAAATCTAAAACAGCTTCCTAATTTCTCACTAAGTTACAAGATGGCCTTTAGGAATTATACTTCCTGTAATAGGCCTTGAATGGCTAAAACTCTGTTTCCCATTATGAGTCAAAAAATTCGAAGTTTTCGCAGCCTAAAAAAGCACAATAGTAGATAAGGCCAATTTTCCATTGGGTACTGCAGGACAGTGCCTATAGCCCACAACTCTTTTTAGGGGCCCACGAAAATAAGTCTTTTACAATCTTCAGACCTAAAAAAAATTCACTTTTAGGTAGAAGAAAATATTTTCATACATCATTTTAATGTATTCATCTTTATATATAAGGTAGTCATAAAATTTAATTTTTCACTTTTTTTATGGTATAAGGGGTCGACAAAGCAAAAGCAGCCAGGACCCACAAAAGGTAAAATGCGGCTCTGAAAGTTAAATTTTTTTTCTCCCTCATTTCCCTGGACAATTCCAACAGACATGCTGTTCTCATTTTATATAAAGATAATTGGTGTCCTGACGGATAAAGCTACATACTGTATTTTTTTTTTCAATTTAAAAGCCAATTCCCAATGTTTGTAAGATTATGGTACAAACTGTAATACTTATTCACTGTTGATGATATAAACTGGTACAATCATTTAAAAAAAACAAAATCTTAGTACAAGTCAAGAGCCATAAAGGTAACCTCTTCCTGCCTCATTTTAAACCCAGAAATCCATACCCAGAAATGAATTTTCAGAAAATAATTTAAGAGGCACAAAAATAAGTACCACAACAGGACCTAAAGTTCTAAAAATTAGCCAGGCATGGTAGTACACACCTGTAGACCCAGCTACCTGCTACCTGGCAGACTGCAGCAGAATTGCTTGAGCCCAGGAGTCTGGGACCAGCCTGGGCAACGTAGTGCGACCCTGCCTCTAAGTAAGTAAATCCATAAAATTAAAATTAAAAATAAAATATTAAAAATGCCATCAAGGCCAATGACCAATGTTAAAGTTCAATAAGTGCTGACATATAATTATACATTATCATGGCAAATTACTATGTAGCCATCAAAAATTACCAAAATAAATATTAAAAGATTAGAAATGTCCACTACCTTAATTCAGAAGTCAAAAAACATGTAACTGATTATTTGCAACTCCAAAAAAAAAAAAGTATACACATATGTGATGAAATGGAGAGTTATTTTAAAAATTGCTTCTTCAACATCATATTGCAGGAGTCTGCCAACTTTTTTCATAGAAACGTGTATGGTGGGGAGAGCCGGATAGTGTATATTATAGACTTTGTGGACCGAACCCTCTTTGTTGCACTACTCCGCTCTGCCCTGGGTTACAGAGCAAATGCAGCCACAGAAAATGTGTAAACGAATGGGCATGACTGCTTCAACAAAATGCATATGCAAAAATAGACTGTGTAATTTGCCAAGCCCTGTCATACTGTCTTTTCACTAAAAAGAAAAAAGTATCAGCATATTGAATTGAAAGTGACCCCCAAATGGTTTTATTTCTTTTTGCCGCCTAATTGGAACACTCGGAGAATTATTGTGATTCTAAGGAAAAAGAAAGCCTGTTTCAAAAGATAAAATGCCTATGTGGGGACGCAAAAAACCTGTGGATCCTATTCTGGAATTTTCTTTTCCCTGATCTCTGGTCGACTTTTCTTTATTCAATTTCTGCCTCTCCCTCACCCACCGTGGATGTTTCTATGATTGTAATACTAAAAAGCCATTTTAAATATACAGAAACTTTACATTTGTGAAGATAGCTGTACAGCGTCTAAGGAAATACAGATTACAGTGGATTGTAATAAGAAAAGACTAATTCTCTCACAAACACCGTACTGTGGTGCCTGCAGATTCAGCATCTCCAATTGCTCACTTGTGCGCCAAGAAATGACACAATCAGGATTTCTGGTCTCTTAGGCAATCAAGGTTTGCCTTGCAAAACATTTGCCCTTAGGGGTAATGTTTCCAGAGTAAATACAGACTGCCAAGTTAAATATGGATTTCAGATCAACAAGGGTTAATATTTTTGTGTAAGTATTCCCCTGTAAAACTTACTTTTCTTTTGCTAAATCTGGCAACCCGACACCGGGGACCCTTGAATCGGTGAGGTCCGAGCTTATAGAGACCAAGGTGGCCATCAGGGGGTCCGCTAACAGAGCAGGGGCCGGAGAGGTCTGCAGGCGCCTCCTGGATACCCCATCTGCCTTTCTGGATGCTACTTTGCACTCGTAAAAGTGATTGCTTCTTGTCTTCTACCCCAGCATTTCTCAAACTCCTAGCGCGGATGTTTTATAAACCTAGCACTGCCCGCTAGTTGTGGCCGCCTTCCGAAAGCTTCTGTGCGGGTTACCCGTCGGCTGGCCCGGCCTCCGTGGGCTTCCTTGGCCTGGAACAAAGCCCCGACGGGCAGCAGCCTGCTTTTAGCGCCCAGGCTGGACAGCCTCGGATCCACACGGAGGACTAGCCGAGAGGCAGCTGTGTTTAACATATTTGCGGAGTTACCCTTTCTTTCGGAACTATTCCATTTCTGCTTCTACTGCTCCAGGGAGAGGGATATCAGGGTTCATCTCCAGGCACTTAAAAACTCTTTTCTGAGGGGTGGAGGGGTCTTGCAAATGGGTTCTCACTGGAAAGCAGGGGAAGGGAGGATAGAGACAAGATCGGAGATGCCAAGAGGTCAGGTTATCGCTGGGTGGGGTCCGCGCGCGTGTCTCAGCCCTCACTGTGAGTCCCCTGGCCTTCTCTTTCCCGACGTGCGATCTTGGTTTTGAGGGATGGGGACCTGGAGCGAAACCCTAAACCCGGCGCGCTGCTTGCGAACTCAGCATTTTGACCCCACTCCACCTTTTTCAGAGAAGAAAAGACCTGACCCCACACCTCCCGGAGGCTTTACCTGGTGAAGAGGAGGAGCAGCCACTGCAGCGCGGTGGACAGGGTATCCTGGCTGGCGCCGAAGATGTCAGTGACAGTGGCCGGTACATCCGCCAAATCCAGCCTCGCGCCATCATCGTCGGAGTCCCCGGCTGCCTTCTTTTCCGCAGAGAGTATAAAGGCGTCCATCATGTCGCGGGGGGCGGCCCCAGGCCGAATGCTTTCGCGGTGCCTCAAGAACTTGTCCAGGACGAAGTTGCTGAAGTTGTGATTGAGCTGCTCGAATTCGCGGAAGGCAGTGCGCACTGGGTTGGGGAAGCTCTGCAGCCAAGGCATCACGTCCACCAGGCTGCCCGCGCCCACCGTGCGCCCGAACTCCTCGTTGTGGCTGAGCAGCTCACGGAACTCGGGGTCGTCGTGGCTGTAGCGGCAGCCGAAGCACACGGCGCTCATGACGTTGGCCACGGCCACGACGGTCAGCGGCCTAGGGTCGAGGAAGGCGCCGTCCGCGCTGCCGCGCACCAGCAACGCCACTAGCTCGCGCGCTTCGCTCAGCACGTGGCCCTCCAGGACTTGACGGCTGCGCGGCTGGCGCGTGGCGAAGGCGCGCATCGTTCTGTGGGCTGCGCGCCGCTGCACCTTCCAGTGCTCGGAATAGTGACCGAAAGCCATGCTGCGGCCGCCGGACACCACGCGGAAGGAGGCGAAGGCCGGCCGGTCGGCGAAGGCCGCGCCCTGCTGCAGCAGGGCCTGGTGGATGGCGCGCTCCCCATTCAGAACCACTATGGGGCAGCTGCCCAGGCGGATCTGGAAGACTTCGCCATAGCGCCGCGCCAGGCGCGCAAACGAGAGGTGAGCCGCCTGGCCCACCGCCGCGGCATTTCCGATCAGTGGCCAAGCGAACGGCCCCGGGGGTGCGAACCCGAGCGGCCGCCTCCACTGCCTCAGCAACCACTGGCCCGCATGCACAACGGCTAGCACCGACAGGAGTAGCAGGAGCGTGGTCTGCTGGACGGACAGCGGGTATAGCGGCCAAGGGTCGTTCTGGCTGAGGCTGGTGGCCATGCTGGGGACAGAGAGGAAAAGACGTGACACTCAGGTGTGCAGGGACAGGAGCGGGCGCCCCACTCCTCTACCCTAGCTTTGGGGGACTGAGTGCTGTTGCGTGAAGAGGTCGGAGCGGACTCTCTGGAGAAGTGGCCAAAGACATCCCTTCCCATCCCCATCCCAGCCACCCTGGGAGAAGAGAAAGGGGGTGTTTCCACCTCCCAGCGTCAGCCTCTTCCCCTCCCCGCCAGGCGCGTAACGGTTCCTGCAATTTGGGGACATCGCCGCGGGCATCGAGGCGGTGGCGCTTGATTTCCTTTAAAGTGCCTACCACTCCACCCCCTACCTGCAAGAAGCCATCTGAAGGGGTCGCGGGGCAGCGGCTCCGCAGAGAGACTGACCTGCGGGAAGGTGCAGTTTCCAGTGGCGCGGGACAGCCGGCTCCGAGAAAGGGCTGGGACCTTTGCCTAGGGCAAGACGTCAACAGGAACCCGCAGGCCCGCCCTGGACACCTGCTCCCCGCACTGGAAGCTTTAAATCCCACTCGAGTCTCTTGGCGTCGTCAGAGCCAGGAGCGAGTGGATTGGGATGGGGACCGAGAAAGGTGCTTCTCTCGCCGAGCCCCGCTGCACTTGGGGACCTGCAAAGCAGGGATTTTCTCACAGCGCTGGGATTAAGAAGGGGGATCGGTGAGGGGCGTCAATACCCATGCCCTTGCGGATCTCACAGCTGGCGTCGCAGAGGTGCTTACTTCCACTCCGGAGTCAAAAGCGCGCCATCCCGCCGCGCCTCCGGGTTTTAAGTACTGGGTAGAGGGCAGCATGACCTGGCGAGGCGGGGCCTGCAGGGGGCGGGGCGCGCCGCACTCTGAGCCACTTTGACCCGACTCCCGTCGGGGCGCACCGGCCGGCCTCGGAGCTCTACCCGGAGGTTTTCATGGGAGCGGAGGTGCCCACGTTCCATTGTGTGGTAACCGCTCTTCATCACAGCCACCTCTAATCGAGGCCGCACGGTGGCCTCAGAAATGCGCTTGAGACAACCTGCCCCTGCCGCTGCGCTAGACGTGGGAACGCGCCCCGCCCGGAGCGCAAGACCTCCCTTCTCTCTCCGCGACTTGGGCTTACTTCCCGGAAAGCTCGTGTAGTGGTATCGGTTCGCCTCACAGCGCCCCTGGTTTGTTGTGGTTTACATTTTATCTTAGGTTCTTGCAAACAAATTCCCACCTCGGTGGAGGCTCTTTGGCGTGCAAAGTTTTTTTCCAGTTCTTGCGGCGAGATCAGGAATCCCTGAAAGTAGCCGCTCCCCCGCCCCCGGGCCCCGACAGTCTTTGGGCATACAAAGGCTCCTGGGGCTCAGCTGGCGGTGAAGTTTCCCGCGTAGAGACTACTCCAGGTGGCGCCGCTGACTGGAGGGCGCGGGGACGCCCAGGCTGCGACGGCAGCCGTTTGCGCAGGGCGGGAAGCCAAGCTGGGGCGACTTGGAGGTGGGGGGAGCGAGCGGGGCGGGACTCGAGCGGGGCGGAGAGTGACGGGAGGAGGCGAATCTCCGCGAGCCTGCGAACTTTCGGGTTGAAAAGTTTCTGCTGTCGCCTCCCCCTTGCGTGCGGAGCTGGGCTTTGCGTGCGCGGTTTCTGGAACGTCGGCTTCAGTCATCAGTCATATCCCTGGGCGCTGCCCGCGGCCACCCCTCCCGTGCTTCTCACGGCACCTGACTGGCGGAGGCGGCGGCAGAGGGTGGGGTGCTGGCCGCCACCACCCTTGGCGTGGGGTGCCGGCCGCCACCACCCTCGGCTGCGCACGCACGGTCGCGCCTGCAGGGCCAGCAAGACGGACGCTCGGGCCACCACCTTTGCGAAGGCCGAGCGCGGGCGCGCATTGCGACCTCGCCGCCCACCCGTGGCTCTGTGGTCCTCCTGGGCGCAGGTGCGGTCGCGAAGGGGACGCTCGGGCCGAGGTGGCTTCCCCCACCCGGCGCGCCCTTTCTTCCTACAAGTTGGTGCATAAGGGTTTTCAAGATAGCTAAAAGAACAAGGTCTTCAGGAGGCGGGGAGGAAGGGGGAACTCGAGGGAAGAAGTGGGATGTGTCTAGTTAACCAGGTAGGAATTGTACCTCCTACTTTCAACAAAGGATAAGTATAAATGTTATGGGTTCACCACGGACAACACTGCACTTTGAGCTCCACCCGCGTAGCGAATCTCGTGCTATTATTGACCCTTTACAGACGAATAAACTGAGCTTCAGAAAGGTTACGTGACTTAACCCAGGTCACGCAGCCATCAAGAAATGGAGCCAGGACTTGAAGCCACGAAGTCCCACTCCAGATCCTTCATATAAGTTTATACGGAAGAAAATTCCAGATAAGAGGCCCCAGATGACTTCTTTCCTGCCTCCCTTAAAAAAAAAAAAAAAAAAAGTCACCTAGGACCTGGCGCAGCGGTTCACGCCTGTAATCCCAACACTTTGGAAGGCCCAGGCGAGGCGCGTGGATCACTTGAGGTCAGGATTTCAAGACCAGCCTGGCCAACTTGTTGAAACCCCTTCTTTACTAAAAATACGAAAGTTAGCCGGGTGTGGTGGCACGTGCCTGTAGTCCCACTACTCGGGGGCGTAGGCAGGAGAATTGTTTGAACCTGGGAGGTAGAGGTTGCAGTGAGCAGAGATTGCACCATTGCACTACAGCCCGGGTGGCAGGGAAAGTCACTTTCTGAAAAAAAAAAAAAAAAAAATCAGCTGCAAGAATTTTTTTAATTATTGCTTTTGTTTTCATAATTGAGAAATCTGATAATATCAGAGAAGAAATAGTATGCTAACCCTTCGCAATTAAATTAGTCACGAGGGAGGCCGGTGGACTGTGTGTCTCATAGCTGACCCGGGAATGCTTGATTACATTGTAAAGAAACACAAAGGAGTGCCTGAAGAGAATCTGACTTCTTGAGAGATTGAAGCCAGCAATAAATTTTCTGACCTGATGAGGAAATAAATGTCTTTCTGTTTTGGCTTTTTTTTTAGACGGAGTCTCACTCTGTCGCTGGGGCTGGAGTGCAATGTCGAGATCTCCGCTCACTGCAACCTCTGCCTTGTGGATTCAAGTGATTCTCCTGCCTCCTGAGTGTACCTGGGATTACCACCAGGCTCTGGCTAATTTTTTTTTTTTTTTTTTTTTTAGTAGAAACGGGGTTTCACCACATTTGCCAGGCTGGTTCAATCTCCTGACCTTGTGATCCACCCACCTGAGCCTCCCAAAGTGCTGGGATTACAGGCATGAGCCACCTTGCCCGGCCTGTGGTGGCTTTTATTCGGTATCTTTTGAAAAGTTTTCTGGAAATGATTTCACACACTATCATGGGGAACTTAGTGATGGAGTTTTAGTTTTTGAGCAGTTGCATTGGTTTAATAATAAGCTGAGTTGGCCTACATAGCCTTTGAAATGAGTTTTATAGCAACCTTCCCATGACCGGCTTTAGCAAGACCCTTGCCTAATAATTCAAGACTCTGGTGCATGCATCAGTCTCTCATAGACTTTAATTTGGTAGACAGGAATTATCTATGAGCTAATGCCAATTCTGAGCTGTTGACATTCCTGAAAGCCTTTATCACAATACCTCTGCCGGAAAGAGAGCAGCTGCAAGTTGCCTTTAAGTAAATTCCTATATTTAAAAAGTATAAAACGAGATTGTTCCTAAGACCTCCTGTCCAACTCCTCAATAATGCCATCTAGTTTTTAGATCAAATAGATGCATGCTTTCCTGCCATCACAGATAGATCAGATATATCCTCCAAGCTGCAGTTCCTTAGGCTCAGCTCTTTTTCTAGGACAAGACTCATAAATCAGAGGAACCAGGTCGGTAAGTGCTGTCAGAAAGATAAGCGCTTATCAGTTGTGGCAAACCAAAATGACTGGCTATGGTAACACTTCCTGCAGAATCTTCAAGCATGGGGTTCTTAGGGCTTTATGGTGCAAATTTCATTGAACATCCCATCTGGTACCCTGCTGAGGACTTTGGATAAATCCAGAGCAGCCTGTCGGTACCCCTGATCCAGCTCAAGGCAGAGCCCTCCCTCTAGTGAGAATCTACACAGGCTCTTTAATTATCATGACAACTTCTCAACCAAAGCAGGGACCGAAAGCCCAGGAATCTCCTTTCAATCAACAAAGAATATGGGCATTTTGCCCTCCCAAATCTCAAACTTGAATTGTCTGTTGCAAATAACTTTCAAAAAGAACAGCTAAGCTAGAGGGATAGTTTAAAGTAGAGGTTTAAAATACCTTATATTGTATTGATTCCAAGGAACAACTTAAGCTTGTTTAAGCAGGACAGGAATGCACTGGCCCATGTGCAGAGAAGGATAATTGGATGCTTCACAGGATGCAGGGATCCAGGCCACTCTAACAGCTCTCTGCCTATGCTAGTCTTCGCTTGGGCTTTCGGTCTCTGCAAGGCGGGGGGGCTAGCCTTAGGCAGCCTAAAGTTAACAAACCAAAGAGAAAGAGGATAGTCCTCCTCCAAGGTCCTAGAAGGACTCCAGTGGGCCAGACTGGCATCGGGTTTTACCCTGTGACCAAGGGCTTGTTCTGTCATCAGAATAAAAGAGATGGCAGAACACGCTAAGAAGCAGAGCCAACCCAGTGCACTCCATGTATACATGTCTGCCCATTGCTTTCTTTGGGTTGCAGGATAACCCAAGGAAACCCAAAGCCATTATTGTTATTATTATTTTAAATCAGCAGATCCATGCATTGCCCTTAGAGCCAGTAGACCAGAAAGCTCTACTCTTCTGCTATTAAGCTGGAAGTCAGTTTTCCTCATGGTTTTCCTCTCTAGCGTGACCCCTGCATCAGTTTTGTGGGTTACCCATATGGGTAAACTGTGCTTTTCCAATCCCCTCCAAACACACATATCCACATGCGCTGAGGAGAGTGAAGGAGAAGCAGTCATCTCTAGTAAACCCTTGACATTTGGGTGGGCAGGATTCAGTAATCAGGCAATCTTGATTCAGTAATCTTGCTGGTAGGCAAAAGGAGCAGAAATAAAGAGACACATCAAATGGCTGAGGGTGTGGTAGAGGGAGGAGCTGTAGGATGATGCACACCATGTGCTGGACCATGAAAGGAATCTTAGGAATTGATACCAAAACCCTGTGCCTCACCTGAAATGCTCCACTTCCTTCCTCCTGGTAATACACAGGCAGAGAACCACAGAGCTGATAAAAAGATATTTTATCTAATCTCAGAAGCCATCATTTGTAGGATGTACCCTTATTTTTATGTACTAATATAAAGAAAGGAAGCTACCAATTATAATTGCATAATCGATTGTAAGATACATCCAGATTTCAGAGATGTTAAAATGTAAAGTAGAAGGTATGATTTGGAGCTGACAAGCATTATACAGGCTAACAAGGATTCTCTCTTTGTATTAAGCACTTTCCAGGTTTCTTGGATGTAGTGGTTAGGACCAAGGATATTGGCTACCAAAGCCATCCCCATTTCTATTAGTATTATTTCATATAGACAATTGATTTTTTCTCAATTCTATGTAAAGTTTGGTGAGAAGCTGTTTTAAAAGATTCTGCTCCGGGCACGGTGGCTCACGCCTGTAATCCCAGCACTTTGGGAGGCCGAGGCGGGTGGATCACGAGGTCAAGAGATCGAGACCATCCTGGTCAACAAGGTGAAACCTCGTCTCTACTAAAAATACAAAAATTAGCTGGGCATGATGGTGCGTGCCTGTAGTCCCAGCTACTCGGCAGGCTGAGGCAGGAGAATTGCTTGAACCCAGGAGGCGGAGGTTGCGGTGAGCCGAGATCGTGCCATTGCACTCCAGTCTGGGCAACAACAGCGAAGCTCCGTCTCAAATAAATAAATAAATAAATTAAATTAAATAAATAAAAAATAAAAGATTCTGCTATTTTTATTGGCCTAAATTAATCTAAGAAAACATATCACTTGCTAAATAGATGCAGCTTAAAACAAGTTTCCTATTCATGCTCCCCTTCCAAGCTGGTTGCCCATAAGCTCTTTCTGGTATTAGTGACAGCTACATGTATTGTAGTTTCTCACCAAAATGCATCCTTAAGTATTTAGAGGTAAAGGGGTGTAATGTCTTCCACTTACTCTCAAATGACTCAAGGAAAAAAGAGAGGGGTAAGGGGAAAAGGAGAGGGAGAGAGAGGAGAAGAAGAAAGTAAATGTGGTAAATGTTAATTGGAGGATCTGGATAAATGGGCGTCTTTGTGATTTCTTGAAATTCTTCTGTAATTATATCAAAATTAAAAGTTAAATATAAGAACATTAAAAAAATCTTCCCAAAATTTTGATCTCACATTGCCTTCTTAGCTTCTGTTGAAGGTTTCTTGTAAGCAAGGACAGTGGAAATAAAGGCGGATTGGTCTGCAGTTCGGGGTCCTCCATCTTATATGTCATTCCTGGAGTTCAGGACTAATAAAAAGTTTGTGCTGGATTGTAATCATTTTCCTCAGCACTGTGGATTATAACCTGTACCTTCTCTGCTATCTTTGTTTTTTGAATGG